AAATTTTTTTTTTTTTTTGTTTTTTTTTTGTTTATGTGTGAATAATACCCCATTTTGTGTATGTACCACATTGTCTTAATCCATTCATCTATTGATGGGCAATTTGGTTGTTTTGATATCTTGGGTATTGTAAATAATGAGACAATAAACAGGGGTGCATGTATCTTTTCAAATCAGGGATTTTGTTTTCTTCAGGTAAATTCCTAGAATTGGAATTACTGGGTCATACGATATTTCTAATTTCAGTTTTTTGAGGAACTTCATACTGCTTTCCACAGTGGCTGCGCCGATTTACATTCCCACCAACAGTGTAGGAGGGTTCCCATTTCTCCACATTCTCACCAACACTTGTTATTTCTTGTCCTTGGATAGTGACCATTCTAATTGATGTGAGGTGATACCTCATTGTGTTTTTGATTCGCATTTCCCTGATATTAACTATGTAGAGCATCTTTTCATGTGCTTGTTGGCCATCTGTATTCTTTGGAAAAATGTCTGTTCAGGTCCTCCATCCATTTTTTAATCAGATTATTTGTTTTTTTGGTGTTGACTCATGAGTTCTTTATATATTTTGGATGTTAACCCCTTACTGGATAAATCATTTACCAATATATTCTCCCATAATATAGGTTGCCTTTATGTTCTGCTGATAGTGTCCTTTACTGTACAGAAGTCTTTTGGTTTGATGTAGTCCCACTTGCTCATTTTCTGTTGTGCTTCCTTTGCCTAAGGAGATGTATCCAAGAAAAAAGTGCTCATGCTTATATTCAAGAGATTTTGCTGATGTTTTCTTCTAAGTGTTTTATGGTTCATGTCTTAGATTTAGATCTTTGATCCATTTTGAGTTTATTCCCTGATGTATTCTTCATTGTTTTGATTTTTGGTGTATCTGTAATTGTGACCTTTTCATCCCAAATATTGGTAAATTACTTTTATTCTTATTTTGACTAGTTTCATGAGAGATACTCTCTGTTTTATTAGTCTTTTCAAGGAATCTTTTGAATTTACTTCTCCCTACTTTTTCTCTTCCATTAATTTCTGTTCTTTAATATCTCCTACCTTCTTCCTTTGGAATATTCTTTACTTTCTTCAAGTTTATTCTCTTATATTTCTGTTATAAATGACTATCAGATACCTAGCTAATTAATTTTCAGCCTTGTACAGTTACGGGCATCTACAGCGAATTTTTCCTTGACTTGCATTGTTTACAATTTTGTATTTCTGACTAATTATTTTTAAATATCATGATTTCTTTTTTGATTCATGAATTAGAAACATTTTTAAAAATTGCCAAACATATTTAGGTATGTTAACCATATTCCATTGGTTCTAAGATGAACCTTTCCCCACAACACACACATTTTAACACCTTATAGTTATTGATGTCTTAGAGTCTATGAAATATAATAATTATCTTTTGTTAATTGATTTTGACCTAATTACATAGCCATTTATATGGACTGATTCTTTAGAAATTCCTTTAGGCTTGCTTTGTGACCTAATCCTGAGGTTAATTGTGTGTGTCTCAAAGGTGCTTAAGGAAAATCTGTGTTTTTCTTGTTGTTTGTTTGGAGTTCTATGTAGATACAACAAACAAACTTGTTGATTGTGTTGTTTAAATCTGCTGAGTCTTTACATACTTGTCTTCTTGCTCTGTCAGTATTTGAGAGGAATATTCCTAAATCTTCCATTCTAGTGATGATGTCTCAGTTCTTCAGAGTTCTGTTGATTATATATTTTTTAACTTCCTTATTCAAAGCATACTTGTTCAGAACTGTTATTTCTTCAGAGTGAATACACCTCCTTTATAAGGCTTTTGGTCTTAAAGTCTGTTTTCCTAACACTAATATAGGTACCCCAGCCTTCTGTGTGTTGATATTTGCCTTAGATCTTAGAATTTTTAGCTACAATCACTGTCTTTCTTCCTTACATACTGTTACTATCTAGGACTTCAGTATGCTAATGTTTAACATCACAAATTTGATCTGTTTTTTTTATTACAGAAATATTTCTTTAGATTTGTATTTCTATTTGTCAGTTTCTTTGTTCTCCATTCCTTCCTTGTGGGATTAAGGCCTTCTGTTTGGAGTTATTTCCTTCCTCGTCAAAGTAAATTTATTCTTTTGACTGCCCTAAGTTGTTTATTAAGTAAAAATTTTACAAATATTACTTATAATAGCGGTGATGGTGGACTTGAGAGTATTTGCCTTCTCCAAGCTGCGCAGCGAGAGAACATTCTTTAGACATTTTTTTAGTGAAGGTCTTTGGGTGACTTTGAGAATCTCTAGCATAACATGAAAAATATTTCCTTCAATCTTTAATAATGAAACTAAATTTTTGTCACTTGTAAACATGTCCAGATACTGTTGAAATCTCTCTGTAGTTCTACCCAAGATGAATGGTAATGACAGCAATTTGAATCTGAAGTTTTAAATGATGCTTGAAGTCATATTGCTTCACCTCTTGAATTGACTAGGGGTTTAAGCTGTCTTTATAGCAGTAATATAACTGGAAGAAGATTAAAAACCTGAAATGAAGACCTTTCATTTCACTTCATTCCAGCTCCTTGCAGTTCCCTAAGACCCATAGAAATGGTTGTTAGAGCTCCTATTCCCAAAGTTCTGATCCCCAAAATTGGACATAGCTCAAATCACCATGTTTTTTGTTTACAGCTCAGAGAGTGGTGGCAACAGTGTGAAAAGACTGAAATCAGACCCTGACCCAGATGACAAGAATCAAGGTGGGTGGCAGCTCTCATTTCGTTCTTTACCTACAATGCATGTGAATCATAGGAAGGGGCTGGAGTGCATTGCATCTATGAAGCAATGCATAGATATCTAAGCAAACCTGCCTAAACTTAATTGGCCAAATAATTTTTTTAAAAATTTTGTTATCGTTAATCTACAATTACATGAAGAACATTATGTTTACTAGGCTCCCCCCTTCACCAAGTCCCCCCCCCACACCCCATTACAGTCACTGTTCATCAGCATAGTAAGATGCTATAGAATCACTACTTGTCTTCACTGTGTTGCACAGCCCTCCCCATGCCCCCACCTACATGCTAATTATACATGCTAATTGTAATACCCTCTTTCTTTTTCCCCACCCTTATCCCTTCCTTCCCACCCATCCTCCCCAGTCCCTTTCCCTTTAGTAACTGTCAGTCCATCCTTGGGTTCTGTGATTTTGCTGCTGTTTTGTTCCTTCAGTTTTTCTTTATTCTTATACTCCACATATGAGTGAAATCATTTGATACTTGTCTTTCTCCGCCTGGCTTATTTCACTGAGCATAATACCCTCTAGCTCCATCCATGTTGTTGCAAATGGTAGGATTTGTTTTCTTCTTATGGCTGAATAATATTCCATTGTGTATTTG